GGGAGCTGCCCCTTTGGGGGCTGGGGGCGGGGGGCCCCGGGCTGGGCCCCCCCCCCCCCAGTTCAGCTGTCACTCGGACTCTGTTGCCTTTACTCCGCCTGTGCACCTCCCCTTTCCCTTCTGCCTCCGCTGGTGCAGCCCCAGAGCCAGACACGACCTCTTCTCCCCAGGCGCCAGCCCCACTATCCCGCCACGGGCCCTAGGCCATGCTGGAAGGGGTGGTGCTGCAGGCATTCAGGCCTTGCCCTACCCTTTGCAATCCCCACCTCCCACTGCCTTCACTCGCATGTGCCCACTGGGCTTGGCACTTGCAGCAGTATATGGGAGCTCCAAATCAGTAAAGGGTGGGGGTCCCCCTTTGCCCTATGGGGGGGGTGCAGAAAACCCCCCCCCCCCACTCCCCGATAAAATAACGTAAATGTAGCTACAGGCTGGAGCCTGGGGCAGGGGGAAGAGCCGGGGCAGGGAGTCCAGGCCAGGATGGCTGCTGGCTCTGGAGATAAATTAGAGAAGGTCAGGACAGAGGCAGTCCAATAAATAGTTAAAAGGCTGGTGGGGGTTGGGGGGGTCCATACAACCCTCCCCTCGCGCCCACCTGGCAGCATCCTCACGTCTGGTGGACTTCATGGAACATGAGCTCACGGGGGATGCGGGTCTCGGGGCCGAAGGCCGCGGCTGCCCGGTGCTCAAAAGCAGCCACCATCTTCTTGACCACTTCCTCGAAGAAGACGGCAGCCAGCTGAGAGTGCAGCAGGGACCGGAACTCGAAGGAGATCTGCGGGGAGGGGGCACCGTGACCAGCTGGCAATGGGGACCAGGACCCCAACCCCAGGGCTCAGGATGGGACCCAGGAGTCCTGAGCTAGTGCTCGCAGAGATGCCCACGGGCGCTTCACTGCCCCCCGCAGCGCGGCCTGGCTCCGAGCCCCCGGGCACAGAGCGGGGCGTCCTTACCGAGAAGTCCACGGTGCAGGTGCGGGGGTAGCCCTGGATGCCGGGGCTGAAGCGCCAGCTGGTCTCCAGGTGGTTAAAGAGCTTCCCATCGGTGCAGACAGCCTGGGGGACACGGAGCCACGGACATGGGTCAGGGCAGAGTGGCACGGTCAGGGCCCACGGGCTCCCCACCACCCCCTCGGGGCCTTACCTTGACGAGGTGAGGGCGCACGAGTGTGATGATGGAGGTGTAGCGCTCCAGCACTGGCGGGAAGCCCACCTCCAGCTGCGCCCGCACGTGGCCCGCGCGCCGCGACACCACCACCGACTTCTTGCACCAGGGCACGAAGCACTTGTACTCGTCCACGTTGGACACCACGTCATACATCTCCTCCATGGCATACCTGCGCCGAGGGGGGGGCACAGCAGAGCCCTCAAACGCAGCCCCCACCTCTGGGGCCACGGGGCGCACAGCCCGGCGTGGCCGCCCCCCCACCCCACCCCGTGGCGCTCACCCAATGATGCGCCGCTCCGAGTACTCCTTGCGTTTGTTGGTGAAGGGCCCGGCCAAGTTGATGAAGGTCCGACTGGGCGGCGCGTGGGGTGCCCGGTCCAGGCCACCGAGGGCCCGTGCCACACAGCTCAGCTGCACATCGCAGAGGGAGGCGCACCGGGGCCCACGGGCAGGGCTGGGGGGGGCAGAGACACACTGCCAATGCCTCCACATGAGGGCTGGGGGCCCACAGCAGAGCCGGGGGTGCCTGCATGGGCAGGGGGGGCCCCAGGGTCCCCAGCCCCTGTCCTGACCCTGCCCGCAGTGCCAGGCGCTGGCCCCTAGCACATCCCTGGTTGCTTCCTGCCCCAGCTAGCGAGGGTGGGGGGGGGCAGGAAAGGGGATGTGGCACCAGCCTCCAGCCTTACCCGGGCAGGGAGCGGC